AGTTGACGACTGAGTTTTCTCTCCAGGTTCCCCTTCCCTTATTATTTTCTCCCCAGCCCCTCTCTAGGAGAAGAGCCAGGAGAAGTGCCCACGTTTTCCACTCCGTCATTGGTTATGGTCTTCTAGACCCAGGAGGGACAAAAGAGTTGCTTTTTCAGTGGGGGTGGTTGAGCAAACCGGTAGGATGTGAGCAAAACTATAACAAAGTAAGCAAATAGAAGTCCAGCCTACCACACATCCCTTTACTCATCTGTTAGTGGTGCTGTTTTTGAAAAAGTATCTCAGGTCTTCTACTGGCTCACAGGCGTATTCTGTTGTGGCCTGTGGGGTTTTTGGAGGCAAGAGTTTTAATCTAGATAAATGTACCCAACTAGGTATTCCTTGTAGTTTAATGGCAGTGGGGGTGGCTAAAATTACTCTACAGGGGCCCTTTCATTTTGGTAATAGTTGATCTCCAGGGGATCCCTCCTTCCAAGTTTTAAGAAGAACTTGGACCCTGAAGTTAATTTGTGGAGGGGCTGCCCCTTCTGTTGTATCCCTAGTGGGACCTGGCAGTGCCTTCTTGGCTTAGTCCAAGATTGCCTTTTGAACCTGTCCCAGGTTAATAACACACTGTAGCCTCTGGCTCACTTCCTCATACCAGTGGTAAGGAAGGGCGTCTCATAGGTCACTTCAAATGGTCTAAGCTTCAGGAGACTCCTGGGGGCTATGTGAACCCTGAGGAGTGCAATAAGAAGCAGGTTGGTCCAGGGCTCATGAATCTCTTGGCAAAGTTTTGTTAAGGTTTTCTTTAAAGTATGGTTCATTTTGTCTACTTTTCCTGAAGACTGGAGGTGCCAAGAGGTGTGCAGATTGTAGCTAATTCCCAAGGCGGTCGATAGGCCTTGGGTGATGTTCGCTATGAGGCAGGGCCGATTATTGCTCTGGAGGGATTTTAGAAGCCCAAACCAAGGAATCGTCTCTTATTTAAGAGGGACTTACAGACTTCAGTGGTCTTTTCAGATTGAGTAGGGAAGGCTTCAACCCATCCTATAAAAGTACTGACAGACACAGGAAGATATTTATTTATATCCTGAAGTTTAATTGTCAGTCTTCCCCCAGGTATGTCTCACGGGGTTGAAGTGGCTTGAGTAATGAAGGAGGGATTGGATGGGCCTGCGGATTATTATGGGTACACAAATCACAGGCAAGGGTCACTCATTTTATTGTTCCTTTAAGCCCCTTTCCTGAAAAGGTCCTTTGTATCAAGTCCCATAGTGTATTCCTCCCACAGTGGGTGGCACCATGTAAACACTTAATGAGCCTCCTTTCTTGGGCCCCAGGGATAAGAAACTTGTCATCCTTTATATACCAGCCTGTGCTTTCTTTCTGATAGCCCCATTTTTCAGCATTCTCTTGTTCCTGTGGGGAATACTGGGGCAGGCCAGGGAGTTCAGGGGGTCCAATCATTAGGGCCATGATTTGGTCAGGCTCTTGCGACTTAACTGCCTGTTTTGTGGCCTGATCAGCTTTGTTATTTCCTTGGCTCATAAAGGACCTGTCCTTCTGATGGCCCTTACAGTGAATTACTGCCACCTGGGTCGAGAGCTGCACTGCTTCTAAAAGAGCCAAGATTAAATCTTTAGGTTTTATGGAAGAATTTCTAGCAGTTAACATTCCTCTCTCTCCAAATGGCAGCATGAGTGTGTAGTACATGGAATCCATATTTAGAATCAGTAAAAATATTTTTCTGGGCTGAAGTCTGGGGTGGTGGGGCCTTGGCTTCTATGATTTCATTTAAGCTAACTATAGCATCCTGCCATTCGGGTTCCCATCTCTATAAAACTACTCCCATCAGTGAACCGTTCAGCCTCAGGGTTGTCAAGGGGTTCATCTAGAAGACTGGATTTGCTGGAATAAGTTTGTTCTATTGTCTCTGTACACTGATGCAATAAATCTCCATTTTCGACAGCTGTGAGAAGAGTTGCTGGGTTTAAGGCTTGGCACACCTTTAAAGTAATATCAGGGGTATCCATTAGGAGAGCCTGATATTTTGCTAACTTTCCCCCGGTTAACCAATGGTGTCCTTTGGCTTCTAACACAGATTGCACCTGATGAAGAGTTGATGCATCTAGGTGTTGTCCCACGGTGAGCTCAGAAGGCTCACTGACCAGTAGGGCCGTGGCTGCTACCACCTGTAGGCAGCTGGGGCATCTCGGGGCTGAGTCCAGTTGTTTTGAAAAGTAAACCACTGGCCTTTGATCTGCTCCCAGCTTTTGGGTCAGGACTCCTAGTGTCATCCCTGACCTCTCATCGATTGGGTGAAGGGTTTGACTAATTTGGAAGCCCTAGTGCTGGTGCCCTACTCAACTTAATCTTTAGGGTCTCAAAGTCCCACTGGTGGTCCCTACTCCATTAGAGGGGTTCCCTTTCTTCTCCCTTTAGAGCTTCCTGTAGGGGTTTGATTATAAGGCCATAACCTGGAATTCAGATACGGCAGAACCCAGCCATTCTGAGAAAGCCTCTGAGTTGTCGATGGTAATGCATTAATGGCTGTTTTCTGATTTATGGCCAGGGCTCATGCGATGGGGGTCAAAACAAACCCTAAATATTGAACCTCTTGCTGTGAAATCTGAGTCTTTGTTGGGGAGACTTTATATCCCCTTTCTGCCAGGAAATTTAGGACCTTAACAGTATTCTGATCTGAATCTTGCTTTACCTTTTTTAGGTAAAGGACCTTAGGACTTTATTAATAGGTCATTAACATACTGTAACAGAGTTCCATTTTTCAGATTCAGTTCCCCCAGTGGAAGCACTGTCCAAGTGTAGTGAATAGCTTCTCGGTGTCAAGTTCCTTCCATTCAAAGGCAAAAAGGTACTGGGAGTCTGGATGTAGGGGGATACAGAAAAATACATCCTTGAGGTCTAACACAGAGAAGTATTGAGCACCCCCTGGCATTTGAGTATGGTTTACAGGTTTGGCACCATTGGGTGAATGGGATGGATGACTGCCTCATGCACTGCTTCTAAGTTTTGCACCAACCAGTATCACCGTATCCCCGGGAGGCTTTTGGACGGGGAGAATTAGAGAAGGGGAATAGCAGGGCCGAATGAGCCCAGGTTCTAGGAATTTGGTGAGCAGCGGTTGGCCCCCATCCCCACCCCTTCCCCTGCCTCAAGACCTCAGGCTTTAAAGGATAGTGCCTCTGCCAAGGGTATTTTCCCCCAGGCTTTTCCTCTATTTCTATTGGGGGAACATGCTTTGCCTTTCCTGGTACCAGTATGTCCCAAACCACATGATCTACCTGTTCCCTAATTTCTTGGGGACTATTTTTATGACCCAAAGGCGGGTCATCTGGGGCTACTAACAGATGCATTCTCTGTTCCGATTTTCTGCTTTCTGGGACCGCACCCTGTTCTAAGAGTACTAGCTCCCAGTTTATTCAGCAAATCTCTACTGAGGAGGGGGAGGCCATTCTGGCACATACAAAAAGGAAAGAGGGATGATCGACCTCACAAGTAAGGGGGTGGGATGTAAACTGTCTTACTTTTGGCCGCCCATCAATCCCCGTTACAGTACAGTCATGGTTGCAGAGGGGACCAGCAGGCCAACTCAGGACAAGGACACTCACCACTTAACCCAACAAATGGCAATAATACAGTTCAGAGCATGGAACTTTTTAAAATACGGACTAATAAATGTAATAAACATTACTGAGAGACCGGGGGGAGCACAAGTTTAAAAAAGGTTAAAGTCGTCCAGAATTAGACAAAATCATGTTTACACTGCCTTTGGCAAGATGTACACACATTGCTGATGCTGGGTATTAGTTCCCTTACTTTTCTTCCCAGTTAGTACCTGCGTCCGTCACTAACACTTCGTGTCTCTGTACCTCAGTTTCCTCATATGGAAAATGGGTTGCGCCAGGTTTCTCCTGTTCAAAGCATTCTGTCCCCGCGTCTCCCCTCAGCACGCCTCCCCTGGCCACCTGGAAAGGGTGGGAGGGTTGTTTCTGCCGCCTTACTTTGTCCCCCCGACAGGCGAGGGTGCAGCGATGCACTGGGGGTGGCAGGGCGGGGACCACCCTCCAGAGTCCCCACACGCAAGGCCCACGAGATCGGGGGAACAGGAGAGCAGGCACTACTGAACGGATCTGACGGTAACCTGCGGAGAGCGCGGCGCCGCCCGGGCCCAAGGGGCATTCCAGGCACACGACAGGCGGCTCAGGACAGGAGAGCGCCCCCACCCTGCCCAGCTGCCTCTCATCGCATAAAAGAGAAAAAAAGCCCCTCACTCCGCTCCACCCCACCGACCCCGCTCAGCCCGGAGCCGCCCTGCGGCCCCTACCTCGCGGCCCAGGCGCCGCACGAACCTCTCTTCCCCGCACCGGTCCCTCACGACGCAGCCGCACTGCCCGCGCCCGCGGGAGGGCCCCCTCCTCGGTTGCGCATCCGCTTCCAGGGCAGAGGGCGGGGCGGTGCCGGGGGGGCGGAGCGCGGAGGGCGCGGGGGGCGGGGCGCGAAAGGGCGCGGAGGGCGGGGCCTGGAGGGCGGGGCCGGGAGGGCCGGGCCCCGAGTCCCCGCGGCCGCCCACGCCCAGGCCCGGCGCTGCTCCTCCCCGCTGCTAGCGTTCCCGCCGTCCACGGCTGTCCGCGTTCCCGCCGCCCGCGTCCGCACCGCGTCCCCGAGTCCCCGCGTCCCCGCGTCCCCGCATCCCGAGCGGCCGCGCCCCCTGAACCGGAACCGCTTGCGGCCGCCGGCGCGGAGCCGGGCCGACCGGGAAGCGGAGGCGGCTGCGCGGCGCCCGCCATGGCGGCGGCGGGGGGGGGCGGGCCGG